GAAAGTCCACTACACCCCTTGCCTGTAATACAAGAGGCATTTCTGAGGGTAGCAATGAACATTGTGGGCCCTGTGCCACATCCTACTCAAAGAGGAAAGAAATGTAGTTTGGTGATGGTGAATTTTGCCACTAGATATCCTGAAGCATTAGCTCTGGCTAATACTGAGGCACAGGGAGAGCCAGTGACTGAATATGTACAAAGGTTCTGAAAAGAGTTAAAAGACATGAGGGGTGCTGTTCAAACTAACCTGAAAGACAGCCAGTCCAAAAAAAGGTGTGGTATGATAAACATACTTGTAAACATTCTACTGAAATAGGAGACTTGGTGTTGGTATTAAGCCCCGTGAAAAAATATACAATGCAAAATTCTTGGGAAGGACCTTCTGAGGTGATAGAGGTAAATGAAGATATGTATCATGTTAAAAAACTTCATGGTAATGTCCCACAGCTACTACATGTTAACAGACAAAGCCTATCACAGCAGGAAAGCCATGGTAGAAGGTGAAACTGAGGCACACCACCTCATTGGTTTGATGGCTGAATGCCAAACTGACTTCTCTGGAAAGCATTGATATCTGCAGTTCATTAACACCAGTTGAAAGGGCAGAGGTGTTGTTTGTGCTGGAAGAACATACAGAAGTGTTTTCTAACAAGCCAGGGAAGACATACTTGCTGACTCATTACAGAAAGGACCACAGCCACCTCCCAGCAGACCCTACAGGGGCACTGGCAAGGTACAGGAACAAATTCATATAGCTATACAACGCATGTTAGATCTGGGAGTAATTAAAGAATCTGACAGCTTGTGGGCATCAGATGTGGTCTTGGTCCCTAAGACAGACAACGCTGTAAGATTTTGTGTTAATTACAGAAAACTCAATGCTGTCACAGCGTCAGATGTGTATCCCATGCTTAGAATTGATGATATGCTGGACTTTTTAGGCAAAGCGAAATATCTCAGCTCTTTTGATTTAACTACAGGTTATTGGCAAATTCCTTTAGATAAGGTGCACAGAAAAAAAAAATCAGCTTTCAGCACTGAGAGGGGCCTGTATGAGTTCACAATATTACTATTTGGGTTAATTAATGCAGGAGCCACCTTTCAGAGGCTGGTCAACCAAGTGTTAAATGGTTTGCTGAGCTTTGCAAGGGTATGTCAAGGCAGTGTTTTGCAAGGCTTGGGCTGATGACAAAAAACACTTACAAATGGTGCTGTCAAAGCTCAAAGAGGCAGGCCTAACTATAAAAGTCTCCAAGTGCAAAACTGAAGCAGCCAGAGTTCCTTTTCTGGGACACTGGGCAGGGGGAGGTCAAATATCCCCTGATCCCTTGAAAGTTGAAACCATTTTGTAAATTGGCCTGTACCTCAAATCAAAAAACAAGTCCAATTTTTCATAGGTCTGGTAAGCAGTTACAGAAGGTTTGTGTGTGGGTTCAGTGACATTGTATCTGCAAACACAGATCTATATAAAAAAACAAAGCCCAACAAAGTTGTATGGACCAAGGCATGTCAAGAGGGCTTTGATAAGGTAATAAAATCTTGTCTGAAAAGCCTATGCTAACTAGTCCAGATTCTGACAAAATGTTTGAAATGTATACAAATGCATAAGACATTGGTCTAGGCATTGTACTAATGCAGAGAGGGGAAAATAACAAAAAACACTCCATTGCTTTCTTAAGAAAAAAATTGGTACCTACTGAACAAAATTATTCTGTTATAGAGAAAGTATGTTATGAAATAGTGTGGGAAGTCAAGCAATTAAGGCCCTATCTTTTTAATAGAAAGTTCAAGGTGTTGACAGATCATTCGCCATTAATCTGGTTAAACAAAACTAAAAGCTCAAATTCCAGACTTCTACATTGGAGTTTTATACCCCAATAATCTTATATGGCTATTGTACATATAAAGAGAAAAGAAAACATGGTGGCAGATGCCCTAACCAGGAAAGAGGGCCCTGAGCTGCAGCCTCCAGGGCAGCCAATGGCTAACCCTACTACAGCTTTGTAAGGGAGGAAATGTGACAGAATATACCCGCGTCCACACACTATTGTAATAATGTCTGTATAAGGTATGCCTTGTGAGATATTATTTAAAAACTCAACTTGCTGATCAGTAATATCATGGCAAAATACACATAGCAACATTATATGTAAAGTTATGAACATAACCTGGTATCATGACTGAACTATGTTTCAGGATTGTGCCCTGGTATATCTCAAGACATCATTATCTGGTTGCCAGGTATATAGAAATAATGTACTTGAAAGGTATTACATGTCATTATGTTATTGAGAAACTGAAGTACACTTTTTCTTACATCAGTATTCCAGAGCAACTAGTGAAGACAACGGGCCACAATTCATTGCAGTAGAATTTTAGTCATTCCAAACTAATTATGATTGATTCTGATCATATTACTAGCTGACTGGATTACCCATAACCGACTGAAGAGGCTGAGAGAGCTGTACAGACAGCCAAGAAAATCCTACAGCAGAAAGATCCATTCCTTGCTCTTCTGAGTTACAGACCAACACCAGTAGCAACTACTGGATATAGTCCAGCACAACTCCTGATGGGAAGACAACTCAGAACTACTGGTCCAGCTTTGGTAAAGAATTTATTTCCAAAGTGGCCAGACATGAAGAGAGTAGGCAAGTTGGGTAAAAAGGCTTAATAAGCTTATGAACACTTTTACAACAGACATCACTCAGTTAGAGAACTGCCAGGTCTAGAATCTGGTGACCATGTTCATGTCCAACTAGATCGTGAAAAAGGATGGACAACTCCAGCTGTTATAAAGAAAAATAATCCAGCACCCAGATCATATGCGATCAAGACCAACAGTAGAGAGTTCAACAGCAACCACTGACATCTAAAGTTTGTTCCTCAGAAAGAACGATTAACAGAGCAAATGGTACAGATGGCAGATGCAGAAGACGATGACGACTCAAGGATTCCAAACTGACCACAGCCAGTCGCTGCAACTAACGGATAGCCAGATGATCAAGTGGTTACACATTCAGGTCATATAACTAGAAAACCAGTACAATTCAGAGACACTTAACAGACTTACCTGTACTGAAGCTCAAAGACAGCATGATAGTGTAAATATTGTAAATGGTAGGGGGAGATGTAATGGAAAGCCAAACTGTATTATACTGTTCAGCCATTAGCTGGCAGTGTGTGTAACACACCATAGTTAGATGAACCTCAGGCCTGGTCTCCAGTACAGAGTTAGGTCGAGGTAAGGCAACTTATGTGACCTAACTCTGCAAGTGTCTACACTAAAATGTAGCTCCAACTGATGGAACTTGCTCCCTGCGCCGACTTAATAATTCCACCTCCACGAGAGGTGTAGCACTGAGGTCGATGTAGTTAGGTTGACACAGTGTCAGTGTAGACGCTGCATTGCTTACACTGACTGTTGTTGCCTTTCAGAAGCTGTCCCACAGTGCCCCACAATGACAGTTAAATCAGTGCAAGCACTCCTGGTGAGGATGCACACCACCGACACAAGGAACGTAGTGTGGATGTTCAAAAGCAATTTAATTACATGGGCGTACAGCCACCACAGTAACTTAGGTCGACTTAATTCTGTAGTATAGACTTGCTCTCAGCTTTACCTGGCAGAGTTTTAAAGGATCTTATGATGAACACATCTGGTGTGTATAAGAAAGCTCCGTAGCCAGCCCACATCTAGTACAGGAGCATAACAGCTCCACCCCACATCTTGGGAGGAAGAAGGGGGTGACCATAGGGGAGGGAGGGATGGGGTGCAACAAAGTGGGGCCCAGGCCTCTCCTTCTCTGGCTGGTTCTGAACACAAACCCAGCAACCACCACCTCCCTCCCAGCCACACCCAGACAGCAGCACAGGAGGTAATGGGGAGGGGCGCTCGCATCCCCACCCAAAAGGGGAGCCTCTGCCGGTGTTCCAGCACTGTGGGTGTGGGGGGGGAAGGCCCTGGCACTTCCCCAAGTTCTCTGCTCCGGGCGAGACAGCAGAGGGGAGAAGGACGGCAGCCTGTATGTTGGGAAGCAGAGGCGCTGAGGGCCCGGGGGACTGCATGGTACCTCCCCCATGCTCTCCAGGCTGTGCCTCGCCCTGGCCCAGGTGCCCAGACTGAGCATGTCCCTTCACTAGGTCAGTATGTACCAAGCCCAGGCCCCCAGTGCATTACCTCCTCTGCAAGTGATGGGTCCCCCGCCAGAGGGCCACCCTACTATGCTGTCTCAGGCATGGTCCAGAGGGGAAACGACAGCTGCTGCTGAGTCTCTGCTCAGAGCCAGCCAATGGAGGTGGGGTGCCCCGTCCTTCACCCCTCCCTCCACTCTGTGCCCATCAGTAATGCTGTTCTACAGCGTTCCAGAATTACTCGAGTGCTGCCATGTTCTCCCCAACTTCTCTTTCCATATAGGTGATCCCCTCCCAAGTAACACCGCCACCCCTCAAAAAAAATCATGGCACTAACATGCCATTTGCTGCCACCTCATTGCTCGCTCTGCTTGTGTGTTCTATTCCTTCTCTGCCCTGTTTCTGTCTTGCCTACATGGACTGTAAGCTCTTCAGGGCAGGGACCATCTATTAATCTGTGTCTGACCCGCAGTGAGCACAATGGGGGCCCATTCGTAGTTGGTCCCTAGGCACTACCATAATACACGTGATTATTAAATAAATAACTACTCCACAAGTATAGGCCTGAACCACTCGAGCTAAAGGAGTGGAAGAATTAGATTTTTTTTTTATCATTTCAATGGCTAATATTAATGTTAAATATTATTTTAGATTTTTATCTATTTAAATGTTATGGTTGTGGCAAATTATGGAGAAGTCAGGCAATATTTAATCACAGTAGATGTTGAAATTCAAAAAGTTAAAGCTGTATAACTATTAAATCACAAATTGTCAACATCACAAGCCAAAATACACAAAGCAAATAACCTTAAATCAAACTCTAATAAGTTCTCAAGCAGCATTTCTCTTACTTTGCCTCTCTGTACATTTTGATTATCAATGGAAATATTTTTTTCATCAGTTTGTGTGTACAGTGAAATCAACATTTACCAATAAAAGTCGAATCCTTCCAAATCTCATACATTGCTAAACAGTTCTGATTTGCTCCAAAAGAGGACAGTGGTGATACAGACACAGACTGCCTGGTTCATTACACTATTGGACAGACTGGTGCCTCCCCACACTAGGGGACATGAGCTAAAGGGGACGACACGTGACCTCCACATGTTTCCTCCCCTCCCCCAGCCCGGGGGCCCCTGCGCTCCCTGCCCGCTTCCTTCCCCGGCTTTGGCTTCCGGGGACAGTGGTCAAACATGCTGAGGGGTGGGGGGCTCCGGTTCACTCGGTCGCTGTCCCCAGAAGCCAAGCCTGGGCAGGGGCAGCCCACCGCTTCCACAGCCAGGCGCTCTTCCAGTTAGCTGCTGCGCTGCACTGGGCAGCATCCCACCGTGACCAGAAGAGGCTCTAGCCCAGCCCCTTCTGCTCCGGCTCTGGCCCTGCCCCGCTCGGGCAGCTGCTGGAGGGGCACTTGATCCTGCATGCCCACCCCACCCCCACCCCCGACGCGTCACCTCAGCTATTGGAGTTAGAAGTTTACTTTCATTTCTGGGCTGACAAAGGTCACCCAGTCTCATTTAATCTTCCTCTGTTCCCTTCACAGCACTCCTGGTCTTGGGGCACAAATGAGACACAGATTTTGGGAGCGGAACTGAAGCCAGTTTACTGCACAGCAAGTAGAGAACAATTCAGTAGGGGCAGAAGGCCCAGCTTCTGCAGCATTCCTGGTGCCAAAGAAATGAGAAACATGGACTGAAAATAAAGTCTAGCATCTGCTCAGCAACACAGAAGTGTATCCCTAAGGGGTCACTGAGCCCAGCCGCTGTCACACTAATAACCTAGGCACTGGGGCAGAGTGAGAAAGACTAAGATTGGGAATCATACTCAGGTCTTTTCCATGGCAACAAAGATAACGTCAGCAGGTCTCTGCTATGCTCCCAGCCCTGAAAGATGAGGACTGCAAATGGATCTAGGTTTTTTGCACAGAACTCACTCTCAGAGCTCCAGCCTCAGGGAGCTGAAAGTCCATGAATCAGATTTCAGTCTCCTACATGGCTGTGCAATTTCAACAGAGGGCAATGGTGACACAAACCTCCTACTAGGAGCAGCACCCGCCTGCCCCACTGGGAACAAGGATTAGGCAGGTCTGGATGCGCTGTTGGGGTCCAGATCCATTGGCTGAGTGTGAGTGAAGACTATTCTGTGGGAAAGTGCAGGAGGAGGTTACTTGGGGGATTTCTCACAGATCCATGGTAAATCAGCTGCACAGCTGGAGGCCTGGAGGGCACCCCTCACCAGGACGCCACAGTGCTGCACGGGGCTGTTAGAGATGACCCTGCAAAAGAGACACAGAGAACACAGACTGAGGAGAAATAGTAAGAGTCATCACTAAAAGGCAAGGCAGAAAACTCTTTATGGTTGTCGGGGGGAGGTGACAGGAACAGCCGCAGACGGGGCAGCGGTCACTGAATCCAAAACAGACACTAATAGAGACTGCGTATATAGACTAACCCCCCGGCCCATTATCACCACGAAACGCATGCCAGTACTAGACAAGGACACGGTGCAGTGAATTAACTTTAGCAACTTGAGCGATGTGTGTGTTCGTGCCGGGGGCATCTGGGTCAGGAGGAGCGTGGCAAAGCGGATTTCTTTAGAATACGAAAGTTGGAATTCCAAAGGGAAACTGGCCAAGTAGCTAGAGCATAGGACGGGGAGTCATGAGAGCCTCATCCTACTTCTGTCAGTGACACACTGCGTGACCCTGTGCATGTTGGCTCACATCTCTGGGCCTCACCTTCCATATCTGCAAAATAGGAATACCAACACGGAGCTCCCCCACCGAGCGGGTGTCAGGCTAGCTCATTACCTGGAGTGCTTTGAGAAGGTGCTAGAGAGAGGGAAAGTGTTCTGCCATTATTATAAAGCCCCAGGGCCAAATCCTGAGGTCCTTACTCAGGCAACAGAATGAGCAAAAATGAAGGCTCAAATGCTGGTTTATGCTGCTGTAAATCCAGAATAATTTTACTAACGCCACAGGGCCTATCCCATGTCTACACTATAGAGACTATAGCCGTAGCTATGCCAGTGTAGGAACACCACCTCCCCAGGTGACAGTAGCTAGGTCAATGGAAGCATTCTTCTGTTGACCTACCGGCAGCGGGGCTTAGGTCGGCACAGCTACGACACTCAGGCGGGTGGATTTTTCACACCTGAGTGGCACAACTATGTCGACCTAAATTTTAAGCGTAGACCAGGCCTAATTCTTCACTGACTTGAACTTTTTGTGCCACTTGCACCAGTGCAAAGTGGGTGTGAAATGCTCCCAAATCAGAAAAGTAGGGCTTGATTCTGATCTGATTTAAACCAGTTTAACACCAGTGGGACTCTAAACTGTAACCAGTGTAACACTATTAACTTCAATAGAATAATTCTTGATTTACAGAGATGCAGGTAACATCAGCTTCAGAGCTGTAAGATTTTATAGCTACTTTTCACAGGTGTAAATGATGTCATACTGTGCAAAGTGGTTGTGACGCTCCCCAGGAGTACCCAGGGCTGTGAGGTGCCTCACCACCACCTGCCATTAGCATGAGGCAGTCTTGCCTGTGCCTGCTGTAACACAAGAACTGCCATTCAGGCCTCACTCTCACTCTACAGGTTAGTAATAGGCACACACCAACCCCAAGTCTTCTGAGCCTTCCCTGAAGTGTCCAGCCTCAGTATACTAGACACTCACAGAATTACCAGGCCTGTTGTTTCCAAAGGAACAGTACACAACAGCTTGTCAGATTTAACTCAGGACCAGCATTTTGCTTAACACCACAGCACTGAGATATATTTATAGTAAAAACAAGAATAAATTTATGATCAAAGCACAGAGATGCAAGTGATAGTGAGTATGAGTATTAGAAACAAATGGTTACATACAAAAGAAAATCATAACACTTTCTAGAGACTAAACTTAACTAACAAGTTACACTCCTGTCTAAAGAAGCTTATCTCACCCACGGTTCTCTCAAGTGTTTTCAACTAAGCCTAGCTGAGAACAAGACCCCTCTTTCATGAAGCAAATAGGCTACCCGTTTACTTCCTAGGTGAAGGATGACATGGTGTTGTCTTGTCTCCCAAATATAGTAGAGTAAACTTTTGATGTGCACCTCAAGATAGTGTTCTCTCCCCCTACTCCACTGTGTGCTTCTTCCTGTTATTTTTCTCTCTGTGATGTTTTACAATCCTTCATTAAGGAATGGTCTGAGAGAATACTTAGTCCTGCCATGAGTGCAAGGGACTGGACTAGATGACCTCTCGAGGTCCCTTCCAGTTCTATGATTAACATTCAGTTTAGACTAATAAGAGAAGACCCATTGTGAACCACACAATACTTAACATGTAAACAGCCATATAGATAAACATTTCTTGTCTGTCAGAAAACCTGTTATTGCCAGTGACCAGTCCCTAGACACAGTCTATAAGAACTTGGTTTTGAGCGTATTTACATAACTCCTTACGTAACATTCGTACATGTGTTTCACAATTAAATAGATGACCAGTGTGACATCGGATTTTATTTGAGACCTCACATGACATTCTTTTGTGAACTAGAATGCACATACCAGACCCAGGAGTTCCCTGTAGCTACTCTGCACCCCTTTGCTAGCTGGCATTAAGAGGGTCTTGGGTCAGAGTGGTAGAGAAAAAGGCTCAGTGGCCTTGGAGTCATGCTGATGGCGGTAGAGTAGAATTTGACGGTGCATAAGGTCTGGTCTACACTTAGAATTTAGGTCAACATAACTACAGCACTCAGGGATGAGAAAAATCCACATCCCCTGAGCGCCGTAGATATGCTGACCTAACCCCTGGTGTCAATGCAGCTAGGTCAGCAGAAGAATGTTTCTGTCCCCCTAGCCATAGGCACTGACTCTGTAGGTGCTCCAGGGCTGGAGCACCCATGGAAAAAGAATAGTGGTTGCTCAGCACCCACCAGTTGCTCAGCACCCACCAGTTGCTCAGCA